CCCCCCCCACGCTTTTCCCCCGTGTCTGTCAGGTGACCCGGCTCCCTGCCAGCTGCACCGTCTCATGTCCTCCCCCAAGAGTGCGGCCGGAGGCAGCACGGCCCTTTGGCCGCCTTAGCCTGATAGAGGACAGGGAGGGGGGGCTTTTTACAGACTTCCGGTGACTCGAGCCCCCTGCTCTGCTCGGTCCTCTGTTTGCACCATGGCTTGATTCCTTCTCTCTTTCTGGGTAGATATCTCTGTATGATACTTATAATGGACTTTCCCCTGGTTTCTTCTGACAGTTAAACTGGGCTTTGATGTATACCAGTAGGACAGTTGGGTGGGTCACACCTAGTGGTTGTCCTGTACCTCTGCCAGTAGATATTGTGGTTAGTAAGGAAAGCCAGTTCAGATGTACAGAAACTTAGGCTTTGTTAGTTTTTTTCTGGATTTCTGCTGCTCTAATTGTATTATTTTTTAAGGTTGTGTCATGAAACTTTCATTTTGCCAGCAATCTGTGCAAAGTATGATTCGGTTGCTGTTTTTTCTTGTAATAATGCCTTTTTATGCCTTGGAAATCCCGAGCACAGACAACCTGTTTCCATCACAATAACTCCCCGGCCGCGATGGGGTAAAGCCCTCAGATAACCACGATTTAGCCAAATGCCAACTCGGTTCATCCTGCGGAGCCGGACCAAACCCACAAAATATCCAGATTGGTGGCCCCGCCGGTTTCTGTCATTTCAAGGACACCGTCGTCTGCCACAGCTGGCTCTGCCTTTTTTTAGGATGGTGCTTTTTGTTCATGGGAGTTGTACTTGCACAAAAAACCAGCTCTGAGGGCAGAAGGAAAAATTATTGGTTCAGAGAAATCATCATCAGAACCAATTACACAATCTCTCTGAACCAATCATTTTTCCTTCTGCCCTCAGAACATTTTTGTGTAAGTAAAAATTCCCGCAAGCACGTTTTTTGGGTGTCATTATCTGGTTACAGATAAAACCACAGAATGATGAGGTGAATTATGGTCTCTCTCTTGCTTCATAATCGTTCTTTTTTCATCTGAATTAAAGCCTGTTGTGCCTGACATATGCATTTCTGAAACTGTGCCTCTCCGCTCCCTTCCCTTTCCTGGCTTCCCCTCCCCTCCCCCCACCTTCCACTCCCCTTTCCACACCTTTTCTCTTCTCCCCTCCCCCCACCTTCTCCTCCCCTCCCCTTCTCCCCTTTCCACACCTATTCTCTTCTCCCCTCCCCNCTCCCCTCCCCCCACCTTCTCCTCCCCTCCCCTTTCCACACCTTTTCTCTTCTCCCCTCCCCCCACCTTCTCCTCCCCTCCACTTCTCCCCTTTCCACACCTTTTCTCTTCTCCCCTCCCCTCCCACCACCTTCTCCTCCCCTTTCCACACCTTTTCTCTTCTCCCCTCCCCCCACCTTCTCCTCCCCTCCCCTTCTCCCCTTTCCACACCTATTCTCTTCTCCCCTCCCCTCCCCCCGCCGCCTTCTCCACTTTCCACACCTTTTCTCTTCTCCCCTCCCCTTTTTGTGAAGATGTGGAGCTCACTTTTGTCAGCGCTCCCTTACTCTGTCGCTTTCCTCACCCAGGTAGGAGACAGTGACGAAGCCACGTCACTCCATGCTCGGGAGATAAACCTGCAAGGCAAATGGCCATGTGGGCTGAGCCGGCCTGGACTCGCTTCGTCAGAAATGACAGCTCGTAAAGTGCATCCCCAGCAACTCCGTGGTCTCCTGTGACAGACCCTATAGTCCACCACCACCACCACCACCCCCCCACCTCGCTTCAGCCCCCTGTCATGCGTCTGTGATGATGGACACTCACTGAGATCCTCTATGTAGGCCTTCGCCCAGCCCCCCCGGCCCCCCCACCGACAGACCGAGTAGCAGGAGCACCATGAGGGGCCGGGCCATGCGGCATTGAGCGCGACACCGTCCCACCAAGACCACGATGTCATGTGGTGTGCGGACGCCTACACATGTGTGATATCTCGCGAGGTGTCCTGAACTGGGCGACGACGTGCAGAACCTGAACCATGAATGGAGGAAGGGAGTGTGAGGGCCGGGAGAGGGAGGGCCCAACACCCACTGCCCACGTGCCCATTGGCTGGAGGCGGGAGGCGGATCCCAGCCGAGTGGTCTATATAAGGTAAGCTTTCATTCGCTGTGGTGCCCGTCTGTCAGTCACTCTCTCAGTCTCTCTTATTCTTTCTGTCTCTCTCTGTCTGTCTTTCTCTCTCTGCTTTGCTGTCTGTCTCATTTTCTCACTGTCTGCCTCTCGTTGGCTGGTCGCTTCCTTTGTTAGCAGGTCACTTCACCAGTAGTTTCTGCAATGATCCACATCTTCGAGCCTCTGTTTATTTTGTTCTTTTAATAGATGCCTGTTAACTGACAGGTTGCTGAAGAGTCCTGTCGGATGTGGGTGTCATAGAGGTCCGTGGGATGTATATCATCGTCTGAACTCAGCTTGTGTGGCCTTGATAAGGGACACATGTGAAGTCTGCCAGTCTAACCATTGACCCCCCCACTAAGTCATGCTCAGGGAAATATCCAGAAACCCCTGCCCCCGGTTATTAATAATGTTGGAGCTGCTACCTAGGCATTATTCTGCTAACGGAAAGCCTAGTTTGAATGGCGGTTTGCACGGGTGATGCTGAGTGATGATGGTGCCCTTCCTTCCTTCCCCAGTCCCAGTGGCTCTGTGCTGACCTGCCTGGAGCAGGTGAAGACGTACCTGCTGACCGATGGCACCTGCAAGTGTGGCCTGGAGTGTCCCCTCGTCCTGCCCAAGGTGAGTGCTGTTCTTGTGCATGTGCCGGATGATGTGACAGTCTGCGTGTGGAAAATGTTCACAGGTTTTGCTTTGCATCTTCATGAGTTTGCATGGACCTCGAAGGTTCTCCTTTCCAAGGGCCCGTCACAAATCTGCATGGCAATAAACAAACCCTGTATGTTTAGCTTTTTGCTGCATAATGAATCAGTTTAATTACACCTCTCTGGTTTGTCCCATCGTGTGAAACTTCAGGTACCATTTTTGCCATAAACATGTACGGTATTATGCACACCGTGGCACGCACCAACATGTGAGCACAGAGTGGAAACTAGCCATGTCTCTTCAGGTATTCAACTTTGATCCCGGGGCTGCCGTCAAGCAGAGGACAGCAGAGGACGCCAAGGCCGACGGGGACGTCACCAAGCTGTGCATCCACAAGAGGAAGATCATCGCTGTGGCGGCCCTACGAACAAGTATACACTTCTGTATCCCTCTTGAGTTTCAGCCAATCCAGGGGGTGTGGGAGCGGTCACAGGTTGGGGTGGCCAGCTACTACTGACTGGTATAGCTAAGGTAAATGCCAGTGGCATTGGGGTGGAGGAGGGCAGATGAGCAGTAAACTGACCCCTGAACAGCCCCCTGGACCCAGCCCAGTAAGTTTATCGGTGGTGCCTCAGAAGCAGCCAGGGTTCCCGGCGTTTCCTGGAGCCGCAGCCACAGTGTGCGAGATAAGCGGCTCGTCCATGTCTGCCAGACAGCATGGGGTGACTCCTGAATGCCCACGCTCTCCTTTAGCTGTCGGCAGGGTGTTTGTGAGGAAAAGGGGCCACTCGTTTTAGGACAGAGTGATGAGACTGAAATGTGGAGATGTGCCATGGTTGTTCGGGAAATCGACATGATGCTCAAAGAACCTGTTAAAAGGAATATGCTGATTCTGATTCATAAACAGAAATACCTGTTCAATATTTAAGTGAACTGGGGGGATCATGAGTTTTATGCCAAGAAATACATTTTCATGTTTTCGCTCTCTTCCCCCGTTCCTCTCTCTCTCTCCCTCCCTCCCTCCCTCCCTCTCCTGCTGTCCCTTTTCTAAGGTGCGACTCCAAATCTCTCCACTCACTCAGCGAATCCTCATGCAGTAAGACATAAATCACAGGAGGGGGCGTTGACCTCCGTGGCTCTCAACTCCAAGAACCCCTTCAAGGTCCTGATGGCAGCCCAGCAGACGGAGCTGAGCACGGGCCACCCCAGGCCACGGCCTGGGGGCGGAGAGCACGGCCAGCGCTCCCCGTACCGCGCAGGTCACAGTGGCCTGCTGAGCCCCGCCTCCTGCGGCGTGCTGGCCTATGGCGACGGGCCGCACTCCCCACGCGCCGACGGCCTGGGCAGCCCCGATGCGTTCACCCGGCCAGGCCTTCGCGGCAGCCCCGGCTTGCTTCACGCCCACGGCAGGACGCCACTGTCCCCGCCCACTGCCGCCCTGCGGCACAGCTCGCCTGTCCCCCAGCCATCCTGCGCTTTGGCAGGAAGGACTAGTGTGTCCCTGTCCCCCACTGTGGCAGCCAAGAGCCCCGTCATGAAGAAGTCCCCCTGCGTGGAGGCGCCGCGCTCTCTCTACAACCACAAGTCCCACCCCCCAGCCCAGTCACCCCTGCCGCCGCCCTGCGTCCTCCAGAAGAAGCCAGTGTCCTCGGAAAAGGACCCCCTGGGCATCCTGGACCCCATCCCCAACAAGCCGCTGGCTGTGATCGTGCCCGGCTTCCCGGCCAGCCTGCACTCTCAGGTACCAGCCATGAATGTAAACATGCCCCCAGCCATCGTCCCGCTGCCAAGCAACCTGCCCCTGCCTACAGTGAAGCCCGGACCCATGGGCCATGGTGGCCACCCACAGCGGCTCCAGCAGGCGGTGCCCACCGCGTCCGTGCCGCCCTCGCCAGTGACCTCACCCGTGCACATGGCGGGGCCCGGCGCCAGCCGGCTCGAGGCCTCTCCGCAGAGGTCGCGCTCCTCCTCCACCTCCTCAGACCACGCGGGCTTCTTTGCCCCCTCGGGCCCCCAGCCGAAGGCGCCCCCCCGGTCACCCCGGTCCTCAGTGGGCTCGCCACGGCCCTGTGTGCCCTCCAGCCCATCCTCCAAGCCTGACCAGCTGCTGGCGGCCATGAACAGTGTCGTGGGCGGCCAGGCTGGCTCCATGTTCCCACCGGCCTCCGTGGGCAGCGGGCCGCAGAAAGGCCACCCAGGGCTGCTGGGGATGCCACTGAACCAGATCCTCAGCCAGCAGAACGCCACCTCCTTCCCAGCCAGCAGCCTGCTGTCGGCAGCCGCCAAAGCACAGCTGGCCAATCAGAACAAGCTGGGCAGTGATGGGGGCGGGGCCGGAGGCGGGGCTGGGGACGCTCACAGCACTTTAACTCCCATGCTGCCCGCTGGTGAGGGCCAAAGCGGCCGCGCGGCTCTGAGGGACAAGCTGATGGCACAGCAGCGGGAAGCCCTCCACAAGCGGCGACCCCCCAGCGATGCCGTCCTGGGCATGCTCAAGTCCCACATGGGCGTGGCCAGGCCCCCTGCCCCCCAGAAGCCTCTGAGGAAAGCCCTGCCTCCGCCAACCTCCATGGCCCAGCTGTTGCAGACCATGAGCTGCCAGAACTCACAAGTCCTGCCTTCCAGGAGCAGTGGGCCCGGCAGGCTCGGTCCCAGCCAGCAGAGCGCGGTCACACCTCAGCAGCTGCACGTCAGCGGCAGCGTTCCATACCGCTTTTGCGGGGACACCAGGCTGGCCCAGGGCAGGGGGCACAGTCTGCATGGACCCTTCACAGGGGCAGCCGGCCAGACGATGGGCTTCGGGCTGCAGGGAGCAGGTGGGCGCCTGGGGAATGTGACACTGGGCCACCAGAACCCACACACTCACCCCCATCAGGCCCAAGGCTACGGACATAGCCGGACGTCAGCTGGGCCGCCCACTGCAGCGCCCAACGGCGAGAGCTGCACGCAGCTGGAGCAAGGTGGGCCCTGTCCCTCTGCTTCCCCGTGTCCCCTCTCCCACTCTCTCTGCCTCCCAGTGTCCCCTCTCCCGCTCTCTCTGCCTCCCCGTGTCCCCTCTCCCGCTCTCTCTGCCTCCCCGTGTCCCCTCTCCCGCT